AATGTAGAATATTACGTAATGTCCAATTCAAGTAGATCTATTTTAGAATATTTAATCAGTGTTTACTTAATTTGGGTCTTGATTTTGCTTTTGCCTTCTCGGTCTTCGACTCCGAGTCTTTACTCCTTTTCTTTCTTTCTTTCTTTCTCTTTCTTTCTTTCTTTCTTTCTTTCTTTCTTTCTTTCTTTCTTTCTTTCTTTCTTTCTTTCTTTCTTTCTTTCTTCCTTTCTCTCTCTCTTTCTTTCTTTCCCTTTCTGTACTCTTCTTCTGTCTGCCTACCTGTATGCCTGTTTTCCGCACTGCAGTCTGTTATGCTCGAGGATCTTTACGTTATGAGGGGGTAAGTCTGCGATTCCGGATTGCTTTTAATTTCGGAAACTTGTTACTTTTGTTTCTTGCAGGAGCGGCGTGCATCTACCCGTACGTGTCTGTCTACATGCAACAGGTCGGGCTGCTGCCATCACAGATTGGCCTCATCAAGTCTGCCGGAAACTTCATGTCCATTATCATCAAGCCGGTCCTCGGCAGCATTGCAGACAAGACTGGAAGGTATGTTTATGTCGGGACAAAACTCCAGTAAAATTGTGATTTTTTTAATTCCACCATGTTATCACCATACGTAGTGATGGCACACTCAAGTTTTTTCAACTTATATTAATGCCGCTACCAACATAGGGGACAAATACATGACAGGACAATACCCATTTTCACCTGAGCGAAGTGAGGAAAGTCGTGTCTTCCCTAAGGGCACAAGATCGGTGGCATGTAAGGACTCGAACCCGGGACCTCTAGATTCTGAGTCGCGCACTCTGCCGCTACGCCACACGATCCCACCAATGGTGATTCTACCGGTAGATATGCAGATCGGAGTCTCTGTCGACAGAATCTTTAAAATCTGGGTCTCCGAAAGAGTTAAGGATTCTACCGGCATAGACCGAGGTTGGGGTTTGTAAATCTATAAGATATTTCCTTAGAAATAGAAAAACTTTGACCCAGGTAACTTTAGTTTAATGACTTGACTCTGAATTAGGATTTGTAAATGAGAAACGCATTTACAGCATTTTGATTGGAGATTCCTGTCGACAATTCCAAAACTCTGATTCTTTTTAGCTACAACATTTAAAACAATACATTGGCGGCACACGGAAGTTTTTTCAACTTATTTTTACGCCAACACAGAGGATGATGTGTGTGCATCAGCAGACCTACAAGGAATAAAATAACTTCATCCTTTTCAGTCTAGCATTTTACAGTCTATTTTTTTGCTGGAGTGTTGAACTGTTAAAAAGGTTCACAGCCCATCAGTAGGTGCAATAGGTCAATTGCACCCACGAACCGGCGCAAAAGCTCAATTGGTAGAGTGCTCGCTTTGTAACCGGGAGGTCGTGAGTTCAAACCCCGGCCGGGTCACACCAAAAATGACACACTTCTTTCTCTGCTTAGCACTCAGCACATATGGGAAAGAGTGTGGGAAGATCAAACACAGAGCACTACCAGTCCCCTGCTGTAGTACATTGCACAATTGTGTGTCGCCCAAGGGCTACGAAATGGAGATGGGCACCACCCTACGCTCGGGCAAGAGCACGGGAGACCTTCCTTCCTTCCATCAGTAGGGATCCATTCGCCGCATTCAACATCAGCCCTTTTTTCCTGGCGCTAGTATAATATAGCGCTGATAATATAAATATTGGCACGAAAATACGGATCTACAATGCATGTGTGCTGTCTACAGTCCTGTACGGGTCTGAAACTTGGCAAATGACCTCCAACCAGGAAAAACGGTTGGACGTTGCGGATCAGAGATGGCTTCGGGCCGTATTGAAAAAGTCAGGTGGCAACAACACACTAGCAATGACGAGATCAGGCGTCGGACACGACAACCAAAGCTCTCTAAGCTAGTACAAAGAGCAAGGCTGAGGTGGCTAGGTCGCATATCTAGAATGCCAAGACAAAGACTGCCAAAAGTGGTGTTAACGTGGTGCCCACAAGGAAAAAGGAAGAGGGGCGGGCAAATTATGACGTGGAGAAAAACATCGGAAAGAGACCTTGCAGTGATGGGTTGCGAGTGGGAGGGGGTGCAACGAGCCGCGCAAGATAGAGGCAGATGGAGAACAATGATGGCCTGTCTCAGCAGTAGCTGATATGCGGTGGAGTGGTAGGTAGGTAGGTAGGTAGTATGCTGTTTACATTGTTCACCATACTGTATACATGTATGTTATCATGACCTCTGTGCCTATATAGATCAAAACTGGTGGCTGTCTTGACTGTGATGACTGCTTCCGCCCTGCTCTTCTCGATGCTGTTCATCCCCCCGGTACCATCGAAGACAACGTCACGTGCGACTCGAGAGCAGAGCCATCTAGCGGATCAGGACAAAAGTGACAGAAACACGAAGGACACACAGTCCTGGTTCTCCCTGACCTTCTGGCTATTCTTCTGGATTTTCTTCCTCTCCCACGGTGTATATTGGAGCTCAGTTTCTCAGGTAAACTGTCTTCAACTGGCACTAATCTATTCGACTACAATTCGGGTGCTCCAGCCAAATGCTAAAGACATTTATTTTATTTATTTTATTCACATTTATTTTTCGAGGATTGGGCAAAAAGTTATGAAACTCATGACAGCCCTCTCCAGCTTAAGACATTTGTGGTTGGTTTTCGATCGAAACTCAGAATTACACACCTGATAACAATTTGAGTGTGCGTCAGCAGTCTACGGGGCGTGTCCAGCGAGCAAATTTGACTTTAATTTGTTTCAATTCGTAAAGACCTCTCGGACGTCAACCAAATTAAAGTGCTCCCGAACGTCAACCGAACATTGTCGCCTGGTGTTCGGGAACATATTCGGGGGAAAGTCGTGAATGTGTGACAGTGGCTTTACTGAGCGGGACAGCTGGCAAAAGAAATCGAAAATAGGTAGAACAATGTTTTAAAATACTGACACTGATGATACCTACGTCTCTTTTCAGGTGGAGGCAGCCTCGTATCAAACCATCAAGAGAAAAGGAAGAGGACAGTTTGGACGACAGCGTCTTTTTGGATCTGTGGGATTCTCCATTTTTGCTTTCGTGTCGGGCTTTGCTATGGACACATTCACCGATTGGACTAAAGCAGAAAACCAAGGGAAGAGGACGAGTGTAGAAACCGCTGGGAACAAGACTAAGACTGACTATTCTGTAGCCTTCTACATGTTCTTGACCTTCATGATTTTAACCGTGTGTTGCCTGTTAAAGCTAAAAGACTGGAGCGCAGAACCGTCAACAGGGTTCCTGAAAGACGTGGGCAAACTGCTTTCGCAACTGCATCTCCTTATATTCTTGATTGCTGTTCTCCTGTTGGGAGCATTGGATGCCGCTAGCGAAACATTTCTTTTATTGCATTTGAAAGATCTGGGTGCCAGTCAGACTGTCCTTGGTGTTTTCCTGTTCGTACGGACTGCAGCAGAGATTCCTGTTTATGTCATCTCCACTTGGATCATAACGAAGCTAGGATACACAGCAGTGTTAGGATGTGGTTTCGCAGCTATAGGTCTGAGGTTCCTACTGTACTCATTTATAAGTAATCCGTGGTGGGCAGTAGCCATAGATACTCTCAACGGATACCATGCGCTCATGTGGGCAGCAATGACGTCATACGTGAGCATCTCTGCACAGGATGGTCTACAGACGGTCGCTCAAGGGATTGTAGCCACCACCTTCTATGGACTTGGTGAGTCTTTATTACCTTCGACATGAAGGTTATGTTTTCAGTTTTGCTTTGGTGTGGGTCTGTGTGTATGTCGGCAGCATGGCTCGAGAAGCTGTGGATGGATCTGGAGGTAGTTAGCAGTTGTGAAAATGGTTCACCTGGCGTTTCCTAACGGTAATGCTGCGGGCTTTTTATGTATCGTTTTTCCTTCTTGTGTACAACATAACTCGTGAACCTTCTAATCTTAGATCATAATGACAACGACAATGAACTCTGTTGCATATTCACGCCCTAGATGGGCAAAATGCACTTGAGTTAAATAATGAATTGGGTAGGTAAGTACTGGATGTGAAGCTGTAAGTCAAGTTCTAATATGGTTTATGCTGTCGCGATCGTACGGTACAGTAGCGGGCTATGAATGTTTGTGCTGTTGTATGTTAAAAGCTTAACTCCTGAAAGTAAGGATGTGACAGAAAGATTTCTTAACTATGTACTGTTTATTTGTCCACAGGCCACACGTTAGGTAACCTGGTCGGTGGTGTAGTATATAACCGGTACGGCGCCGTGGCGTTCTTCCGATCCTTCAGTGTTTCCTGCCTGATCGGATTCCTTCTGTTTTACCTGCTGTACAGGTGTTTTGGGAAAAAAAAGAACCCCACAGGTGAGAAAATTTTAAACTTTTTTTACTGGCTTATTGTTATTGATCATTTAGCAAGTTGATGTAAGATTAACACTGTCTGGAATCCAGTTGTAATTGTGTATTATAACGTTAAATCTCACATGATTGTGTGTGTTTCTCACACACCGATAGGGAACAGTCTTTTAGATTTTAAACGAAGAGCATAAGATCGTTTAATGTTTTGTGGTTTTGTAACCGTGGCTAATGACTGTTAAGAACAACGTAAGAATGAATGGATGGTTGCCTATATTTTTTGAATGCTATGTACGTTGGTTGTTTTTAACGTGACAAATGAAATATTAGATTTACTGCCAAAAATCTAATAATCAAGCTTACCCTGAAGCATTAAAAAGGTTTCGTTTTTCACGTTCACAAAAAAAGGACGAAATTTTTTTTACCCAATGTTTTTAGGTATAATTAAATATCAAATTTCATGCAGTGATTTCGAATGTGCATGGTAAGTCTTAAAATTGATAGTGATGTAATTTTGACAACATTTCCTAATCTACGAATGCATTTCGTTCCAATAGGAAGAAGATCAGACACCGAGGATGAAAACGAAACGCAAACTTCCTTAATGTCAACTGACGGTGACGTGGCCGAGTCACAGGCTCTAAAACAGGGTACGTTTCTCCGCGGTGGAAGTGTGACCAGCTTAGCGGGTGAAAACATCGGTTTCCTCCGCCTAGTAAAGCCACAGGACCGAGACATTTCCGGTCTAAAGTAATGAACGCATCGGTTTTCTCCGCCTCGTGAAGCCACAGGTCCGAGACATTTTTGGACTGAAGCAATGAACACATCGGTTTTCTCCGCCTCGTGAAGCCACAGGACCGAGACATTTCTGGTCTGAAGCAATGAACACATCGGTCTCCTCCGTCTCGTGAAGCCACAGCACCAAGACATTTATAAAGTTACAGGACCGAAACACCTTGAATCGGTCTAAATGAGTGATATCAATTTGTGAATATACTGCATTGACACAATTAAGTACTACAGAGTCACTTTTGGTTTTCCGCTACTCTTAACGTTTCCCTTAGTATTATGCTGGTCCATTCTTTGAAACAACAAAAAACATTTAAAAAAAATTAAAACAATCTCATGTTAGCAAGTAAAATTAATGCATTTTAACCTGCTAAACTGTTAGTTTACAGGGTCATATCGATTTGTTTACTTACTTTTCGGATATACAACACTAGTACATAATTTGATAATATAAAAAACAATATAATCATTTTGTCTGGATCGAAGGTCCCATTGCTGTCAAGCTGTTTCTTTTATCTTGCCTTTTTTGTTAAAGAACGTAGAAAATGTTTAACCTGTGCCTAGAGGGTATTTAATATGATGTTACGTAATCAGTGTTTTCTCTTTAGCACTTTCTAACTCACTGTTTTAACATTTAAAACCTAAACGGCAGTCAAATTTTATCCATAAAACCTTTCAACTATAACTCTAACAATGTAGTGCATTTTTTTTCTATTTTTGTGCTTATTAAATTCATTTGTAGGTACAGATCAAACGTTATTCTTTTGTAACTAATCCATTATTAAACAATTGAACCGTCAAAAAATGTTTTATGTTTTCTTGGTACGATCTTGGCCATTACTTATTCTTGGCCACAAGTGTCTTCAACTCTCCTCCATTTAAGCTTTCCTGTGAGTCAATCTGTAAGAAAACACATAAAAAAGGTCCATATATTCCCAATATATCCCTAGAACTATACCCCTTAAAATGCACTCTGAACTCCCAAAAATAATTTCATCAGGTTGGTAGAACTTAGGAGACAGGTATTTCTTTTTACACAACCGGTAAATTCTCACCTTGCCGACGTTTCGATGTCTGTCAGACACCTTCTTCAGAGCTTCTGATTGGAGTACTGCATCTCGCCGCTTTATGTAGCTGATGTAGGTGGCGCTTTTGCGGCGAGAACACTCCCAAACGTGGCTTAGTTTGTACCCCCCCCCCCCCTGCCCTAGTTCATCACAAGGGCTGACTTTCTGATCTATACTGCCTCCTTGATCCAGCGGGTTCTTCTATTGTCTTCTCTGTCTATAACTTTTGCCCCCTCCCAGCCAATTATGCAGTTGTTTCCAGCAATGTGATCTGTCACTGCTGATTTCTTTTCTTCTTTTTGTGCATGTCTTTTTTGGGATCTTGTGTACTTTACAGTGTCCATGTTGTCAGCTTGCTTCCTGTGTTCTTCCAATCTAGTCCCAAAGGTGCGTCCCTTTCCCCTATTTATACTTCACTGCAGCTGTTGCACGGGATCTTGTATATGCAGTCCGTTTTAGCCGTGTCCTGTAGTTTTTCTTCAGTGTTCTCGTCGCAAAAGCGCCACCTACATCGGCTACATATAGCGGCGAGATGCAGTACTCCAGTCAGAAGCTCTGAACTGAAGAAGGTGTCTGACAGACACCGAAACGTCAGCAAGGTGAGATATACCGGCTGTGTAAAAAGGAATACCTGTCTCCTGTTCTCTGAACTATTGTAACGCTGTGTTATTCGGATTATTCTGATGCAGGCAACCACACATTGTTTTCTAATAGCTAACGATTAGATGTCATCAATCAACTAGATCCACTAACCCTAATGACCACCAGGCCTGGGGAAGCGTTTCACTTCAACCTATACTATTTCCTCTGGTGCTTGGGTGAATCATATCTTGTGAAAGTCGATATATAAGCCCTAAACATAACTAAACTAACAGCTTACCTTTTCGCCATTCTTGTAAAAGGGAACTGTTGGCAAAGCTTTAATTTCACATGCCCCAGCAGTCTCCTACAGAAAAAAAATGTATATATATACAATGTATATATAATCATATAAAATTAGAAACCTTTGTAGCTTGTAAGCTGCCTTGTAAGTACAAGATATAGCGCAACATCTCTCCACAATTATCGACATTTAAGACCGCAACGCAAAACTTGGCTCTTTTGATACGTCTCCCATATGCATGCAAAATGTTGTTTAAACATGACGAACTTTGAGATCGTGTCGGCATAGTTGCATGTGTGCTTTACCATGCTTCGGCCGGGCAATGGTGGTCCCGTGCGAGGATGTCCAGCTTTAATTGACGGGCGTGCCGTGACTAACACTGACGGGGTTTTGGACTTCAAAATACACTAATCGAAGCAGACAACATGGGTAATAATTATATCCAAAAGCTACCAATTTAAGGTACTTAGGGAAATATTTGTTAATATTTCAATACGTGACACAGGTAATCTAAAACACTCATGGGTCATTTTGACACTCCCTTTTCATAATTAAACATAAAAGTTTTGGACTGTAGCCATAATGGAACATTAAGCGTTACGAAACATATCCAGTTAATTTAGCCACGCCCTCAAAAGTAGGAGGCTTTGCCCCCCAGACATGTGATTCCAAAAAATAAGTTTTTAAATAAATCACGTCTTGGAACGCGACAGGCGTGTTATTCCAAATCATGTTTTGCAATATTTTAATGTACCACGTTTTGGAAATACAGATGTATTCCACTTCGTTTTTAGAATGCAACAGGCCTGGCAGCTGGTTCCCAGGCTAAAATGGACCGACTTGTCCACGGTCAATATGCAGATTCTGGTTCAGTCTGGAGGAAGTCTAACTGGTCCATCAAGTTGTCTGCATATGTTTCGTACAGGAAATAATTGCACAGACACAAGTTTATTATTGTTTATTGTTGAAAACCAAAACCCATCGCAGCCTCACGGGTGAATTGTGAGGTTTGTACACAAGTTGCACGCACGTTACAATTGCTAGTATCTTATTACATTTCGAAAAATACGTTAAATTGAAACTACTTACAACATTTTAAGACCAAATACTAAAATTCACAGTATAAAGTACATTTTAAAAACATTGATAGACCAGTTAGACTTGATGGACCAGTTAGACTTCCTCCAGACTGAATCAGAATCTGCATATTGACGGTGGACAAGTTTGCAAAGGACAGACTTGTCGAAGTATACGCAGTATGTTATACGTTCGTACGCGTTGTCATTTATATCTACACAAAGACTGATTTCGTCGATGGATCTTTAAATTTTCGGACATCTTTATATAAGAACTGACAAGACGTTTGTTGGTAAGGAAATCGTACACCTGAGGTGAGCTTAAACTTTTATTATACTTTTTTGATACCCAGGGGAACGACTCAAATTCTTGATACGGATTTGGATCCAAATATTTACTGTGGATGTTCTCGTATAAATACGTAAAGACGGACATAATCGAACCGTGATGATTAGTAATAATTGTACAAAAACTACGATTAGTTGTTCCCAGGGAATATTCACACTATTTGGTGTGGTTTACAGTTTTTTGTTTTACCGCGTAGTCTTCATTTGAGAAGCAAGTGAGCTTTTCTGTAAATCACACATTATACATGGTGTTCGGATTTCGGATTTCTGTATACTAGTAAGTTGGTCTATTAGGAATATAAATACTATAAGGTAGGGCAATAATAAACGTCTGTGACAAACCTGGGGGGGGGAGGGAATGAACCTTCCGATGGAACTTACGGGAGTGCCGTGTAAAACAGGAACATCTTGCCTTATTTTAAACCTCAAATTTTTACACCATGTACGAAGCTAGATTTGTCGGGTTTCTTCGAAAACAAGAAGTAGACGGTCAACTCCAACGTTTCAAAGAGCTAATCAGCCAAAATATTGAAATGACACCAGGATCCAACCCCTTGTCATAGTGTGTCAGTCCAGTCAGAAAGATAACATTTGGTGGACATTAATAGGGTAACCGATGACAAATATTTTTCAGCAGTTAAAAAAATCATTCTTCTGTCCTTCAATCAGAAAATTGGACCTTTCTGAGCAAACTTAGCAAAGAAAGACATTATTTAAAAATCATTTCAAAAATTATTAGGTGTACAAAGTATGCATTTTGCCGCGTGGCATACAATGAAAACGTTGGTTCCAGACTGTAATATGTCATTTTTATCACGTCATTTGTGTCGTTTTATCGTCTGGATCCGTCTGAATTGTGCATTTTAGTAAAACTGAAATGTATACAACTAAACTTAACAGAAATGATAACTCATTCACATTAACGAATAAAATACATTTTAAAATGGTCTGCAATGCATGACACAGAGGCCTAATCAAATTGTGTGATTTGATTTATATAATGGAAATCATGTCTAATAAAACAAGTATATCTTTGTTGATAGGTTGTTAACACCAGGTTTCCAGTTGTGACCAGGTTACCCATAATGCCTTTCTGCGACTTTGTGGATGGAGACCTTCTGGTCGTCAAGGCGATTTTCTTCTTCTTTTTCTCCGGTACGTCTTGATTTGCACGATTCGTTTATTTTGATTATCTTTGAGAGATTCTCTAACGGAATACATTTAAAATATTCGCATTTAAGAAGATCATGTTTTTATAGTTACGAAGAAAGTACTAGTCTTTTTCTAAATTCTCTGCAAATGGAAAAAAACAATGGATAGTTGATAATGAAAAAAAAACAATTCATGAATTCAATTCTTCTGACACGAATTTATGTTATCAAAGGTGAGTAGCAAATACATGTACTATGAATCAAATGTTGCTTTTGATTATTCTTTTTTTTTCCTAAAGAGAAATTCCACACGTGGCGACACCAGGGACGCCGAAAATTGTAACATATCACGTAATGTCCAATTCAAATAGATCCATTTTAAAATATTTAATCAGTGTTTTATTTGGGGGTCTTGCTTTTGGCTTTACCTTCTCGGTTTTCGACTTCTAGTCTCTACTCCTTTTCTTTCTTTCTTTCTTTCTTTCTTTCTTTCTTTCTTTCTTTCTTTCTTTCTTTCTTTCTTTCTTTTTCCGTCTTTCTTTTTTTCTTTTTTGTTCTCTTCCTCTGCCTATCTGTATGTCTGTTGTCTGCACTGCAGTCTGTTATGCTCGAGGATTTTCACGTTATGAGGGGGTAAGCCTGTCATCTCTGATTGCCTCTAATTACGGAAACTTGTTACTTTTGCTTCCGGCAGGAGCGGCGTGCATCTACCCGTACGTGTCTGTCTACATGAAGCAGGTCGGGCTGCTGCCATCACAGATTGGCCTCATCAAGTCTGCCGGAAACTTCATGTCCATTATCATCAAGCCGGTCCTCGGCAGCATTGCAGACAAGACTGGAAGGTATGTTTATGTCGGGGTAAAGACTCCAATCCAGTAAAAATGGTGATTTTTTTTATTCGACCATGTCATCACTATACGTAGTGATGGCACACTCAAGTTTTTGTTCAACTTCGCGCACACAGGGGGCAAATGCATGACAGGACAATACTCATTTTCACCTGAGCGAAGTGAGGAAAGTCGTGTAAAAAGCCTTTCCTAAGGGCACAAGATCGGTGGCATGTCAGGACTCGAACCCGGGACCTCTAGGTTCCGAGTCGCGCACTCTGCCGCTACGCCACACTACCCCACCAATGGTGATTCTACCGGTAGATATGCAGATCGGAGTCTCTGTCGACAGAATCTTTAATCTGGGTCTCAGAAAGACTAAAGGATTCTACCGACATAGACCGAGGTTGGAGTTTGTAAATCTATAAGACATTTCCTTAGAATTAGAAAAACAGACCTTGATAGACCTACAAGGAATAAAATAACTTTATCTTATTCAGTCTAGCATTTTACAGTCTTTTTCTTGCTGGTCTGTTGAACTGTTAAAAGGGTAAGTGTTCACAGCCCATCAGTAGGGATCCATCCGCCGCATACAACATCAGCCCTTTCTTCCTGACGCTAGTATGCTGTTAACACAGTTCACCATACTGTATACATGTATGTTATCATGACCTCTGTGCCTATATAGATCAAAACTGGTGGCTGTCTTGACCGTGATGACTGCTTCCGCCCTGCTCTTCTCGATGCTGTTCATCCCCCCGGTACCATCGACGACAACGTCACGTGCGACCCGAGAGCAGAGCCATCTAGCGGATCAGGACAAAAGTGACGGAAACACGAAGGACACACAGTCCTGGTTCTCCCTGACCTTCTGGCTATTCTTCTGGATTTTCTTCCTCTCCCACGGTGTATATTGGAGCTCAGTTTCTCAGGTAAACTGTCTTCAACTGGCACTAATCTATTTAAGTACAGTTCGGGGGGTGCTCCATCCAAATGCTTAAGATATTTATTTTATTTTATTCACATTTATTTTTCAAGGATTCGCCAAAAAGTTATGAAACTCATGACAGCCCTCTCCAGCTTTAGACATTCGTGGTTGGTCTTCGATCGAAACTCAGAATTACACACCTGGTAACAATTTGGGTGTGCGTCAGCAGTCTACGGGGCGTGTCCAGCGAGCAAATTTAACTTCAATTCGATTCGATTCGTAAAGACCTCCCGGACGTCAACCGAACCAAAGTGCTCCCGAACGTCAACCGAACATTGTCGCCTGGTGTTCGGGAACATATTCGGGGGAAAGTCGTGAATGTGTGACAGGGGCTTTACCAGCTGGCAAAAGAAATCGAAAATAGGTAGAACAATGTATTGAAATACTGACACTAATGATACCTACGTCTCTTTTCAGGTGGAGGCAGCCTCGTATCAAACAATCAAGAGAAAAGGAAGAGGACAGTTCGGACGACAGCGTCTTTTTGGGTCTGTGGGATTCTCCATTTTTGCTTTCGTGTCGGGCTTTGCTATGGACACGTTCACCGATTGGACGAAAGCAGAAAACCAAGGGAAGAGGACGAGTGTAGAAACCACTGGGAACAAGACTAAGACTGATTATTCTGTAGCCTTCTATATGTTCTTGACCTTCATG